TAAACAAACATGACGTGTTGCTATAGCAACGCCTTTTGTCTACTGCAGTTCCTTATAGATTGAGAGAGAGAGAGAGAGATAGATAGATAGATATATTGAGTCTGTAGTGAAGGATCGCGCTCACGGGAACCTGCTCGCGCTGCGCAGCAAACAGCTGTTTGCTTTTCACCCAACAACGACAACCGCCTCACTAAACGCTATGTTGTAGCGTTAATAAACAAAACAATTTAACTAAATTGCTTGTCAAAATACCAATACCACAGGACCATTTTTCTTTCTAAAACAATACTTTTACCTTGAAAATCAATGCATTCTAGTGCCGGGTCAATTTGACCCCGGTGGCGGTTTTAGGTATAAAAAATCTCTGGCGGTTCTAGTGTTAATTTGTATTGTACAATGCCATGTTTTTAATGCAGCTGCAACACAAACATTTCCCAAATTGGGATCAATAAAGTACTATCTTATCCTCCTATCCTATCCTAATACGCAGATTGTAGCCTTTGCATACACAGAAACCTGAGCACACTACAGGGAAGGGAAGCCCACAACAAGCAGAATAGATTTAGTCCTGATTGATGTTGCTGAAAACATTGAGTCTATAATATCGTAAATGCTTCTCTCTCCCAGGCGTGTTACGGCATCGTCAAAGTGCCCGTGGGGAACTGGCTCTGCAGGACCTGTGTCCTCGGCATCGACCCGCAGTGTATCCTCTGTCCTCAGAAGGGAGGGGCCATGAAGCCAACACGGGCCGGGACCAAGTGGGCCCACGTGAGCTGCGCCCTGTGGATCCCAGAGGTACAAATCCAACCTCTTTATGTGATTCTACAGTGAAGATGATTGATTTTTTTTATTGACATTTGGCAGCAAACCATTACACAGCGTTTTTTGAAGACGTAGTAAATTGTACATTTTAAGTTTGTCTGTCCGAAATGCCTTTTTCTTTTTTTACACAAAGATCAAATAAAAACAGTAAAAAGTACGAACAATACGAACATTAGAGAGTGATCGGGACTTCACAGTAAAATCATACATTTGTAAAAATAAAATCTGGCCTATGAGGTTTTACGAAATCAGTCCACTTTCTCCATCGTGACACAAATAGTTCCAGTTTGTGATTGACAGATGATGTTATCCTCTCCATTTTGTAAATGTCCATTCTAATATCCATCCATGTGTTTAAAGTTGGGCTATCTGATGATAACCACTTCCTTTTTTACTCACCACCAGCAACAGATTTAATAAATATTTGTCTTTTTTAGTCCATTCTTGAGGTGTGAGAAAAAAGTCTTACTCTCCATGGGCACATGACATTTGAAAATATCTTGTAAGGCTTTATGTATCTCTCTCCAAAAGACCTTAACAGGGCAGAGCCAGAAAACCTGATAATGATTTGAATTTATTTGATGTGCAAATTTAAGAAATGATTCGATTTAAAAGACATGCATAACAACATTCACTTTGATACATAAAATAACTACATAACGATTCACAAATGAGGAAGGGAAAACACAAATTAATCATAACTTATAAGGTATAGCTAGACACAACATTATTACACATCTCATCACCTGGTCATTATTAATGTTTAAATGTTCAAACTGTGAAGTTTAAAGTGTAAACTTTAAATATGTACTGGTCCTCTTCTCTCTGCAGGTGAGCATCGCCTGTCCGGAGAGGATGGAGCCGATCACCAAAGTGTCGCATATACCCCCCAGCCGCTGGTCCCTCATCTGCAGTCTGTGCAAGTGGAAGACAGGGGCCTGTATCCAGGTGAGGGGGGGGTCCTTAAAAAGAAATATCACAATGGGCCAATGTAACCGGTTAAAACTCCAAGTGGCGATGAGGTCTTAAAATGTATGGAAAGGGTCTTTAAAAAAGGTCTTCAGGGTTCCTGCATATACCCTGCTTCCATGTTATTCAGTGTTTTTCCCTCCATATTAACAACATCCTCCGTGTTCTCCCTCAGTGCTCGGTGAAGAACTGCACCACCCCCTTCCACGTGACCTGCGCCTTCGAGCACAGCCTGGAGATGAAGACCATCCTGGACGAGGGCGACGAAGTCAAGTTCAAGTCCTACTGCCTGAAGCACAGTAAGTCCAAAGAGCCCGGACTGAGCCCCGCCCGATCCAAAGCCCCCCCCGAGGTGCAGAAGGGGGGGCAGCGCGCTCAGAGGCTGCAGGAGCTGGAGGAGGAGTTCTTCACCCGGGTGCAGCAGGAGGACCTGGTGGGGGTCGTGGGGCTGTCGCTGCGCCTCGTGGACTTCATCTTCCAGTACTGGATGCTGAAGAGGAAGGCCAACTTCAACCGAGCCCTGCTGCCCCCCCGACAGGGCGAGGAGGGCCTGGAGCTGCAGCCGCAGGAGGACAGCATCCACACCCGCATGAGGATGTTCATGCACCTGAGGCAGGACCTGGAGAGGGTGGGTGCCGCTGCTGCCTGCTTTCTAGTTTCAAGGCTTTTATTGTCATGTGTTCATAGCTACAGTGTAAGGCAAGGCAAGTTTCTTTATATAGCAAGGCAACTCAAAGTGCTTTAGAAAAATGAAAGACAGGAAGAAAATGGCATTTCAAAGCAAAGATAATAAAATATACATTAAAGGTAGGGTAGGTAATTTTGGAGAAACCAGCTCGAGTGCGCTAGAATTTGAAAATAAACAACCGGAGAAAATCCGCCACTTCCTCACAGAGCCCCTCCTCCAACACACACGAACGCACACATGACCAATGAGGGCACGAGATAAGTTTGTGCACAGATGGAAGGCTGACAGGCAGGTAGGCCATCCAGTTATTTTAGCCGGGCCGGCTCAGATGATTGGTCGTGCTTTTTACAGCACCACGGCTTCCAGAGATGATTTTTTTAATGGATTTTTTGTCAAAGCACTTCAGATATTCATTGCTATCGGGATGTTAAGAGCATTCCATGGAATATAACAAAAAGTGTATCTCGAGCCGGTTTCTCAAACTTACCTACCCCACCATTAAAAGACAAAATACATGATTACAAGTTACAGTGCAGTCAGTGTTTCCGCCAGACCAGGGCTGAGAGGGTGGGGTGTGACGTCACGTTGTGTCACCTGACTTGAATTTTGAATTGAGCCGTCCCTTATAGATACTATCTCTTTACGTATTAGTGATGGGAATTCCGTCTCTTCTTAGTGAGCCGGATCATTTGGCTCGGCTCACTAAGAAGAGCCGGCTCCTAAACGGCTCTTCATGTTACCACAGTTTACCACGGAGCCTCAGTTTCGCTGA